AGTGGCATTTTTGTAAATGGACACCTCTAAGTGGTATTCTTGCAAATGTGCAGACAAAAAGTGACATTTTTGTAATTGCTTCTTAAAAAAATGCTATTTTCAAGTACCATTTTTCAAAAATACCACATTTTCAAAAATTTTGTAAAAATATCACTTTAAAAAAAAATAAATTTCATTATATCATTTATGTTTGGGTTAACTATATTGTATTAGAGTTTAGTTTTGAGGGTTTAAAGGGTTTTATGGATCAAAACATTTTTTAGGGTTTGTAGCTTTAAGATTTAGGTTTTAAAAATTCATAATTAGTTGTATTTTTACAAATGGATACCCCTAAGTGGCACTTTTACAAATATACATACTAAAAGTGGTATTTTTGCAATTGCTCCAAAAAAAAAATAGTAGGAAACAGCCAAAAATTGAAATGAACCAAAAATTTGTATGATTTGACTACTGATTAAATACCATGATAAATTGATAAATGTTTAACAATGATTTTTCCTAAACACATATGGTTGCCTTTTTTTCATTAGAATAATATTGATAATTAAGATTCGGAAAGTTAAATAACACATAAAAAGAAGAAAGATTAAACCATAGTGAATACTGAATACAATGATCTTCCCTTAACATCAACATCAACTAGAAGAATAAGGAAGTTTGATGAAACATTGCTAAACCAAACACATCTTGTTGCGCTTCTTACTTTATCAATTTATCACAATGTTTTGATAGAATAAATAAAAGGCTCGTTGTATGGATCAACATCATAAATCAGGTCCTACCATCTATGAAAAATTGACATGGTTCTTTTTTTTTTACTAAAGTAGATGTTTTAAATAACAAAAAATGCTCAAATTTCTACATACGTTAAGAATTAGCCCGGGGTTTAACCCGAAATCCACCACCACTGTAAAATAAATAATAATAAGATGTGTTCTTCATAAAAGTCGTATTTGGTTAGTTTTGTTTGCACTAGTTCAACAGTTAGTTGATTTATGAAGTTTGGTCGGTCCCAGTTTCCAGAATTAGCTGTAACAAGAACAAATAATTAAAGTAAGAAAAAAACGTAATTTATGTAATATTTTCCAACTTAATTTAAGATTGTTATTTTATTTTAAATGACATTTATGGACTTCAATGTTTTAGAATTATGGACGGCAAAGCAAGCTGACCAACTATTGTTGTCTTTAATTGGCATTTAAAAGTTTTTTTTGTTTTGAGAAAGAATTGGCATTTAAAAATGAAAACAGTGTACCAAACCCTTACTAAATTAGAGAAAACAAACTTTAAATTACGCTTTTAGTGCAAAGATTAATTAAGTATTAATTGTAGAACCATTTTTTATATATTTTCTGGAAAAAAAACTCTATATAATGTCAAACAAATCAAAATATACGATATTTTTTTGTATTGAAATATAATGGATGACAATAATAAAAGTACATAAAGTTATTTTATTCTGCCGATAAAAATATATAACTAATTTTCATAAAAATGAGAACTACATTCTGACTTGTTTCCATAGAATGTAATCCCCTTACTATTAAAAGAAAAGTACAATTAGTAAAAAAATTTAGTTGTTTTAATCTTATTGGTAAAAAATTATGACATGTCTTGAAAAAAGATGACATGTCATAAAATATGCATTACTCTATTTTTTTATAGGTTTTGCTTCTAATGATTTAAAT